TGCCCGCGGCACCCCTAATGCCGATATCGTCTTCCTCCTCTTCTGCTTCTTCTTCCTCTGCTTCTTCTTCTTCTTCGATGGGCTGCCCTGGGCGAGGAGCGCGGGCGAGGGGCAGGGCCGGGGAGGAGCCCTCCGCCGCCCCAGAGGCCGCCCCGCCCTGCACTGCGCCGCCCTGCCCCATCCGCAGCCCCGCCCCTGCCGAGCCCGTGCCCGCTGGCCCGTCCCCCCCTTGGCTCCTGCTGCTGCTCCTTGCCCACGTCCTCCTTCTCCTCCTCCTCTCTCTATTCCTCCTCCTCCTCCTCCTCCTCCTCCTCCTCCTCCTCCTCCTCCTCCTCCTCCTCCTACTCTTTCTCCCTTCTTCAATTCTGCCTTTTGGGGCGCGCGGTCTCAGCACTGGCGGCGCTCCCTGCCCCCGTCTGCCCGGGCCACACGGACCAGGGCCCAAACTATCGCCTGGCGGCCAGGTGGTTCGTCGACCCCTGGTCGCCCTTCAGCTCTCCTCCATGGCAGAGTCCCCTGCTGCTGCTGCTGCTGCTGCTGCTGCTCCTCATCCTCCTGCTCCTCCTCCTTCATTATTCCTTCTTATTTCCCCGCTCTTTCGCCTCCTCAATCCTGTCTTCTTCTTATTGTCCATCTCCCTCTCCTCCTCCCGCTCCCCCTCCCTCTCCCTCTCCCTCTCCCTCTCACTCTCTTTCTGTGTCTCTTCCAGGGCATGATGCGATCGTGAGCCTCCGATGATAGGCAATCCACACCGTGGGGTGGGAGCGCGGACAGACACGTCGGTAATCGACAACCCCGATGGCCCAATTGTCTGATTGACAGATTCATCCACTCCGTTCGCTGATGAACGCGAACTCATCCGCGCGTCACTCACACCAGAGGTGCTGATATCGCGGGCCGGAAATTGTACTGGGGACTTCCTGGCAACCTCTGTTCCCACATTGCGGACCTTCCAACGGTTGGAGACTGGCAAATATTCGAAATCGCGCTCTCAGCTCGGCGCCGGGGGAATTCGTCTGAACAGTTCCCAGCAGCTACAAGAAGCATGGAAGGCGGTTCACTGTCGAGCACACTGTGCCGTGGCGCATTGTCGAGCCCTAGCGTGGCCGTCGCTTCGCATATCAATAACAGGGGATCATAAGCTCAATCGTCTTAGAGTCACATCCTGTGGTAGGGCTACTATATTGTTCTCACCCTTTTGAGCATCCAAGTTTCCAAACATGTGTTAGTACCAGACCTTGCCGATCTTTCTCTGTGATTTAATGTACTCTGTCGCCGGTCGCCCTCCAGCGTCAACGAAAGGCACCGCCCCAAAGCGGCTCAAGACCTGCTAAAGGCGCCAGTTGCCGGCCTAGGATCGATCAGCCTCCCGACCCCGCCCCAGACGACTGCAAGACCCCCCCGAGACGGCCCAACGACCTCGCCTGCCTGCACCACGCCGCCACTAGAAGGCCACATGATCTAGGACAGGCCCAAACAGGCCCCAAGAGGCCTACATGAGGCCCCCGACATACCCCAGTCAAACACATTGAAATTCAACACTGTCTTAAAACTTGAACGCGGTTGCCTTGCCAATCGCGGGGGTCCAAAAGATGGCCTGCAGTGGTGCGTCTCCCGCCCCAGACGGCGTCCGAGTGGTCCGAGAGCCCCGCCCCCCGCCAGGGCCCGAGATAGCCCCACCCGCGAAGACCACCTTCAAGGCGGCCCAAGGCCGCTCCAAGACGGCGGTAAGATGGGTCCAGGACTCCCCCAGATGAGCCCAAGACCCCACCGGCGATACCAAGAGCCCCGGACGACCTCACGACCCCGCGAGAGGGCCCCATCTCAAGATGGCCCCGAAAGGCCCCCCAGAGGCCCCAGAGACGCCCGCGAGACGCTCCCCCCAGGCCCCCCCACACTCCCATGCAACAACGAAACAACCCATGCGACGCTTCAACCACAACACGGAACAGCGCCGCTGCGCTGCTGCCCCGTGGCAGCGGACAAGAGACAAACCTTGAGCCCCTCGCTCGCCCTCCCCTGGCGCAGAACGCTGTTTCAGGCAGCGGACCTGCCGGCCGTGGCCTCCCCACGGTCGGCCGTGGACCGTGGCTGCGCGGCCGCTGGACACGAGATGCGGCTGCTGGTGGCAGGGAGGAGCGAGAACGAGAAAGCCGAAACCGCGACACAAATACGGCAGCACGTGAAGTGATCCCATTCCTGCTCAACGGAGCAGGACGGGAGACGGCAGACGGCAGGGGGAGAGAGGAAGGAGGCGGATGATGGGAGGATGGGAGATGATGAGGGATGGAGGAGGGTGCGGGAATTTAAGAGAGGATCGGACGGAGAGAGAGAGAGAGAGAGAGAGAGAGTGAGAGAGAGGGAGTTGGATATGAGGACGCTGAATGGGGCGAGAATCGGAGAGGAGGAGAGGATGGGGAGAGGTGCCCTATGTACAAAGTGTGCGTCCGATTTCGGCATGACTGCGCCAGTTGCTTTGCTGCCGGCATCTTCTCTGGCTTGCGACCATGTGCAGCTGCACACTCGTGCCGACTACTTCGTCGAAGCTCAGGCCCACCTGAAAAAGCCTGGTGGGGGGCCACTCGCGAACCGCATCGTGGAGGACCAACACATTGACGACGATCCTCTTTTGTTTTCGCATATCGCCATCAGCCACCACGAGGTGACCCGACATTGGTTTCATCAGGGTTCACATCTCGACGACACTCTTGAGGGTTCACGGATCCACGTGTCACTGGCAACCTCCAAAAAGCAGAGTAACTTAAGTGGCTGATGTGCTGCTCTTTTGGTCCTGCCTTCCTGCAAACTCGACTGGGCCCGCCTCCTTGACCAACGTGCTGATCATCCACGCATTTCGGGCCGCCTGGTCGTCGGCGAAATCCATGGCATCAGAGCCGATCGAGAGGGCCATGCTCGCTTCCCGCACTGTGGGCTTGCCTCCCAAGCTCACAGTACGAGGACCACTGCGCTCCTGGGATACATTGTGCTGAGCCCTGTGCAGGTTGAACTGTCGACCAAACGCAATCGCAAGGGCATTGCCGAAGCAATGGCTCCTGGACGCGAAGATCGCCCCGTGCTGACGTAAACGACGGAGCAAGCTACACCTCTCACCATGTCAAAATCCTGTGACCGAGCGCCTCTGTGTCCACCCGGGGAACGAGAGCGACTCTTCACGCGCACCACGCACCCTTGCACTGATCGGAACTATCGCCATGACACCGGCAGGTAGTCCAACGAGGCCATGCCTTTCCCACGATCTTGAGGCCAGACGAGGAAACTTTGCAAGGGGATGTATGCGACAGTGGCTTCTGAAGGACGCTGCGAGATGTGGGGATGCCAACCCTTGGACTGCAGGTAAACGCATCGCGTACACGCCCGCGCATGTTGATTCCTCTGGCGGTCGACCTCGTCCTGCTCCGCGTGAGTGCTCTTCGCATTGCCCCGCAGAGCCATCAGCACCTCGCACATGGCCAGCTGCGCGATTTCTGCACGAGAAGCCTGTGGGATCACCATAAGGAAACTACAGGGGGTAACTTCGATCCGATTTGCTCCAGCTTATCATGACAGTCGGGGACAAGCGAACGTCCGCATATTGCTGCAAGATGTCAACAACCGCTTCATACTCGGCGGCAGCTACCTAATTGGTAAGATTGGTGGACTCCTCATCCACACAAACGGGCACGGGCAACATCCCATCAGGCACACATCGATGTAGAACTCCAGCTCGCCAACAATGGACGCCTTAACCACGCCGCCAGCCCTTGAGAACCAGGTATAATGTTATATGTGCAACTTGTGTCGGGCTGTTTCGCCGTATACGACGCGACCCTTCACTATTATCCAAGCACTCTTACATCTTCGGGTGTTACATCACAACTTCCACAACCATCGCGTCCCCTATAGCGAGGAGGCCGATGCCGACATCAGATAAGTAAGCGTTACATGTGCTTGTTTAACCTGCCAGCGACAAACCGCTCGAAATGGACATTGTGAACTCAGCCTGTCTGATAGGTGCTCAGTATAGCATGTTGTCCATCACCTGCCATATGGAAGTCATGGAGTGATGAGCCAATCTGCACGGCAAGCGACCAACGAGCGATTACATGGGGAGATTGACGTAGCCTTGTTGTGGCAGGCGGCCTGATCGGAAAGAAACCAACTTTGAGTAGGAGAAGGGCCGGCGGACGGGGAGAACAAGCACGACGACGATGACGAGCGACATGTGGCGCTTGGTGGGGCAGGGGGCGGAGGAAAGGGAGGAGGACCATGGAGGGATGGGAGGAGGAGGATGAGGAGGAGGATGAGGATGAGGAGGAGGAGGAGTAGGAGGAGGAGGAGGAGGAGGAGGAGCAGGAGCAGGAGGAAGATGACAATGATGATGAGGGAGGATAACGCGAAAGCAAGTGCCGCCTGTGCATCCTCTCGTGGGCTGACACAACCTACGGGTACGCGCGCGGACACAAAAAAATGCTGCACTCTGTGGAAGCTCCCACGGCAGTGAAAAGAGAAGGGAAGCGAAGTGCTGGGATGGGGTCTCCTGGAATGATCTTTCCCCTCACGAGTTGGAAGAGTAAGGAGCAGGAGTGGTTCCGGGCGGGAGTGCGGATGGAGGGGGAGGGCGTGGCGGGGCTGTAGGTACCCCAAGAGCCGGGGGCGCGGAGACCGCAGATGGGGGACCCCCCCATCTGTCTTTCAGGGATCTGGGGCCAGCGGGGTCCAGAATTTTCTCCACGCCTCCTCCTCCCCGTGCCGCTGCTCCTCCCCCCCTCCCCCTCCTTCTCCTCCTTTCCCCCTGCGCCATTCCCCTCCTCCTCCTCCTCATCCTCCTCCTCCTCCTCCTCCTCCTCCTCCTCCTCCTCCTCCAGCCTCCAGCCTGTGAGGCTGCACGTGATGAAGCGCTAGCTTGTGCGGAAGTGGAAGGCTCGGCTACGCGTGTCTGGCGGGCCACGCGTGGAACTCCTCTGGCCCCTGGCTCGGATTTAGCGGCAAGCGGCCCCCGCTCATGGCGGGGAGGTGCGTGGCCGCTTCCGGGCCCTGCAGGCCTCCTCCGCCCTCCCGGGGCTGCGCCGCTCCGCCCTGAGCGCCTCGGCGGCCCCGTGCGCCTGCGAGGCGGCTCGAGCCCGCGCCTCCTCGAAAGCCTCGCCCTCGGCGGCCCCGCACCACTCGCGCAGGGAGGCGAGGCTGGACGCGGCGGCCTCCTCCTCGGCCCGCAGCCTCAGCACCTCCAGGTATGCCGCGCCGAAGGCAGCCTTCAGCTGGTCCCGCAGGCGAGCGCGGCGCTCCTCGGACTCCTCGGCGGAGCGCAGGAAGGCCTCCGCCTCCGCCACTGCCGCCTCCCGGGCCTCGCGCGCCCGAGTGCGGAGGGCCACTTCCCCAAGGGCATCCCCACGCGCGCGCGCGGCCTCCTCGAGGGCGCTGCGCGCCTCGAGGGCCCCACGCTCGGTCTCGAGAGTGGCCGCCAGAGCCTTCCAGGCCTCGTGTGCGCCGAGGCTGGCATGCCTGAGAGCGTCGAACCTCTCGACGGCCTTCTGCCGCACCTCCCAGTCGCCCTCGCCGCCGCCCAATCGCCGCAAGGATCGCGCAAACGCTTGGCCCGCGTCGCACAGCGCCAACATCGCGCGAAGGCTGCTGTCGCGCGCGCTCACCGCGACGTCCGTGGTCTCAGAGCTGTGTGCTTTTCTGACCTCCTGCTGGTGGGCCTCCTGCGGGGCCCCAGCGGGGAGGTGATCGGGCCGATCGCTGCCACGGCCAGGGCCCGGCCCAGGGGGTGGTCCCGCGCCGCTGCTGCTGCTGCTGCTGCTGCCGCCGCCACCGGGCGCGGCACCGGCCGCGGCGCCGCCGTTCGTGCCCTCGTCCGCGGCAGCCTGCGGGGTCTGAGCGCTGGGTCCGCCGAGTTGACGGCAGGAACGACGTCGACGGCGACGTCGACGACGGCGGGGGCAACGACGAGGCCGAGGTCGTCGTCGTCGGCGGCGGCGTCGGCCTCGTCCTCGTCCTCGTCCTCGTCCTCATCGTCTTCGGGGGGGGAGGGGATGGTGAGAGAGGAGGTGGCGATGGCTGGGGGAGGAAGCAGGGGGCTATGAGAGGGGGACAGGGGGCCTGCTTGACAGGCTGTGCAACGAGTGGGTTTTCTTCGTCGAGCCGTTGAGTCTCAGACCTCTGATGCAGCCCCGAGAACGCGCAACGAAGTCGTGCCACATTTGCTTCAAGGCGCTTCGTTGCAACTTCGCGCTCAAGGAGCCTCCAAGCACTTTCTCGCAAAAGCTTTTGGACAATACCAGGAAGTGTAAGGGTATAGTGGTGGACTTCCAGCTCACTGACCACGAGGACAAGACAAAATGATTAGCCATTTTATCACTTCTAACCGAGACCTTCACGGCCACGACTGGCCAGATACGGCACGCTGCCTCCACTTCTGATGGCAGCTGCATTCCCCCAAAACTGCTAAGCTGCGACCGCGCGGAAACGTGGCCCCAGGCGACAACGCGCCGAACTCACCAGTCACCCGTCCGACACACGGCGAGACAGCCCCGAAGCAGGCAGGTGTCGGACACAGCTCCTCTCAGCCTCGCCGACGCTGGCTGCGGCGGCAGGTCTTACGAACGGGACCGCAGCGCCGCCTGCAGTGTGCTGGTGCGCCTGCCTCGCCGCACTCTGCGCCAGCAGGAGGAGCTGGGTGAGCGACGTCTCCGCCTGCTGGCCTGCCTGCGCCCGAGCAACCTGCTGCTGCCACCCTCTGCGTCGTCAATTCGCAATTCGAATCACCTTATGACCGAGGCAGCCGTGTGCTCTTCGAGCTGGGTATGCCGACGCTCCATTTTCGGCCAGGCCGTGCGGCCCGAGCCCCTCGCCCAGCGTGCCCTCGCTGAAGAGACCGCCATCGTCCTCGATGGTTATGTTCGAGCCCTTGCCACCCACAACGTCACGAAGGCTCATAATAAGGCCAGCTGCAACTTCAGGCTCGCGAGAGGGGGCCACGGACGCGTGTAGCTTGTCCAACTCCTGGCGCCAGTACTCCTACGCCTTTTGCTCGCGCCTGAAGTCGGCCAGGAGGCTCTCCCGCTTGCGGGTATCCTCCTGCCACCTGGTGTGCTTGGCCAGCTTGTTCGTCAGCTGGCCGTCGATCTTGGCCAAACGATGCTGGAGCTCGACACCTTGGCCTTGGAGGGGGTGCAGGGCGGGCTCGGGCACCGACCCAGCCAGCGCATCGAGCTTGTCCTGGCAACGCCCGGCCCTGTCCCAGTGGCGCCCCGCTGCCGCGAGCGCCATGGGGAGCTGCAGGGCCTTGGGCTCCAAGGCCCTGCGCCAGCTGGTGATGCCGCCGCCTCCGCCCACGGCGCGGCAAGCTGAATCTCAGACTGCCGCGACTAGGCGCCATTGCCCAGGAGGAGCAGAGGGCTTCAGCAATCAAAGGAATGAGCCTGCAAACGATGCCACGCGCCCCCTCTGCCGCAGGGGGGGTGCGGAAGCGGTGCCGTAAAGCTGGCCGCCCTGCAATGTCTGGAATTCGGGAAACGCGATCGACGGCTTGGCACAACCGCAGGCCCTGGCCTCTCACCGCTACGAGGATCCCACGTCTTCACCGTCATTGTGTTGGCCTTGTGGCGCCAAGGGGCCGAACGTTCAGGGCCTGTTCCACGAGCAATTACTGCCCACATATCCGCCATGCCACCCCATTCAAACTGCATGAGAGAGATGCCGAGCGAGATGAGGGAGTGGAGGAGTGGGAGGAGGGGCGGAATGCTCCTGAGGGGGAGGGAGAGAAGGATACAGAGGAGAGGATTGGATTCGCTTGGGCCGCGGCAGCCTCACGAATTTGTGACGTGACGACAAGCCAGACCAGAACTAGGCAGCACCGTGATGAGGAAAATGCGAATTGGCACGCTGGCTGCTGCAACTTTGAATTTGCGCGTTTACTAAAGGGCGTGATAAGAAATCGATGAAACAGAAACGGGGAGAGAAGTTCCGGGGAGGGGGCAAGGAGGGGGGGATGGGGCACAGGAAGAGTGGCAGGACGCCAGAGGCGATCAACGTGCCCAGCGCCCCCACCCACCCTATCCGCCCGGCCGACAGAAGATCGCAGCGAACCTTCTTATGTTCCCTCCTCCCTCCGCCCCCCGCGACCCTGAGTGAAGCCAGTGGTGAAACCTAGGCGCACGTGCTCAAGAATACACCCAGATAGAGAGAGAGGGAGAGAGAGAGAGAGAGAGAGAAAGAGAGAGAAACAAACACACAAACTCAAGAAAGGAGGGAGAGCGAGAGAAGAGGGGGGAGGACAGAGGAAATGGCCTAACCCATTTCCTGCTGCTAACCATGGCCGTGCCACTGGCCCAGGAGGGAAGACAGGAGATGCCCAATAGCTAGTACCACCTGCATCTTCCACACACCCCTGCCCCCTGGGCACCCCCTTGATCCAGGAGCGATGAGGCTCCCGTCTCGCTGACAACAAAACTTGGCTGTGGGAGCCTCTGCACCGAGCTGTTCCTTAACAGCTGGGATCTGGAGGGAGACGCAGGAGGATCCACCACACTCCCCCGCCTCATAAACACTCACACGCAGAGGGACCAACACACACACACACACACACGCACACACACACACACACACACACGCGCGCACACACACACACACGCACACACACACGCACACACAGACACACACACACAGACACACACACACACAAACACACGTACACACAGACACACACACACATACACACACACACGAACACACACACACACACCCATACGCACACGCAGACACACACGCAAACACATACACACACAACCACACACAAACACACACACACACACACGCACACACACGTCCCTAATACACGAAACCCTTACCCACTCCACGGTCCTATTCCTTCCTCCTCCTCCCTCCTTCCTCACCGCTCTCCTCTGGCGTCTCTCCTTCTGCCACCCCCCTCTCCTGCGTCCCCGCCCCTTAGCCCCACGCTGACGCGGACGCCCAAGACAACCGCAACCGTCACGGACGACGACTACGACGGCGACAAAAGACGGCAGCGGCGGCGACCGGCGCCGGAGACGGCGGCGGCGGCGGCGAGGGGCCGAAGCCCGGCGCCTGCGCGCGGAGCGCGGCCGCCCGCGCCCGCGCCGCGTCGGCCAGGCCCTGGCGGCAGACGGCGAGGCCAACGGCTGCGGCCGCCACCTGCAGGGGCAGTCCCCCCCCACCCGGGCGGGCGGGCGGCGGCGACGACCCACGGCGCTCGAAGGGCCTGCGGAAGGCCCTTGGAGGGCCTTGGAGGGCCTTGCCGAAGATCCTCGGAAGGAGGTGGACGAAGGAAGCGGGAAGGGAAGCGAAAGGGATGAGGGGGCGGGGAAGGGGACGATGGTGATGAAGAGAGAGAGGGGAAGGGAGGGAGCATGTTGGATGGAGAAGGGATGGGGAGGAGGAAGAAGAGGAGTGTGAGGTGGAAGTGGGGGAGGAGGAGGAAGAGACAGCTAAGCCCCCCTGCTCCCTCCCTCACTGCCTCCCTCTCTTCCTCTATCTCGTCTCCCCTTGACATTTCTTTTTCGGGAGGAGGCGGGAGACAAGGGAAGACGACAGGGAAGGGGAGGAGGACCAATGTGGAGGAGGAGGCTGGAGTAGGGATAGGGAGAGAGCGTAGAAAAACAGTGGAGGGAGAGGGAGAGTGGGGAGGGAGGGGAGGGGAGGACGCATGGGGAGGGGGGTAAATATGAGTGAAGGTAGAGGGACGATAAGTATTCGCCGGGATTCAGCTCAGTGCCACGGCTGGGGTATGGCAAGACGACGACGGCGACTGACGGCCACGACGATGACGAGATCGAGTCCACCGAGGACGTGGACGGCTGCTGTTCAACTCTACCCACCTTGAGGAAAAGGAAGAGGAGGTAGAGAAGGGGAGGGTGAGAAGGAGGGAGGGATGAGAGGGAGAAGGGAGGGAGGAAGATGATGGGAAGATGATGGAGAGTGCGGCGGAGGAATTGAAGGTGGAGGCAGGGAGAAGATCCTCCTTATTCTTTCCCTCAACCTCCTATCAAATCCTCCTTCTCATCCGCAACCTCCTCCTCCTCCTCCTCCTCCTCCTCCTCCTCCTCCTCCTCCTCCTCCTCCTCCTCCTCCTCTCTCAGCATCCTTCGCTTCCGTCTCTTCTTCCTTCTCCCTCTCGGTTCTAAAACCACCAGTGCGCCTCCTGGCGCAACGCCGGATCATTCCAGCCACGTCGGATCACCCCTTGCACAGAACCCCCTGCCGATCACATCTGCGCGCGCGAGGCGCAGAGGGGGCGACTGACGCATCGCCAATCCTGGTCGAGCCTCCGACGCGAGACGAGGGCCGGGGCGAGGACCCTGGCGGCGCGCGGCAAGGGAGCAGGGCGAGGGGGGGGCGGTCGGGGCGCGGCCTTCTGAGCACAGAGGCCTCCCGACCATAGCTGGGTCGGAGGCTCGCGCCGCATCGCCGATGCATCGCGCCGACGATTCGGCGCCGCCGGCGTGGAGAAAATCGGGCTCCACATCGAGCCGCATCGGCGATGCGGCGCGATCCTCCGATCCCGATCTGCCCCGACCCCAGCTGGGAGGCCCAGAGAGAATGCGGGGGGTCGTCGGATGGGGGCAGGGGCTCCCGAGAGGGCCTCCCGGGAGCCCTCCGCCCCCTCGGGCCGCGCCCCCCTCTCCGGGGGAACAGGGAACGGCAGAAGCACAACAACGCTCGGAGATCCGCGCGGATGTATTGGATCGGCGGCGCTGGACCCCCCGCCCTGGTGCACCGAGCGCGCCAGGGGCGGCGCCGGAGGCGCCGCCAGGGGGCTCCAGCGCCGATCCGAAGAATCCACGCGGACCTCCGAAAGTGTGTGTGTGTGTGCTTTTGTCACTGTGTGTTCTCCGACCTCTGCTCGCCCGAGACTCCCAGGGCGCCCAGGGCCTCGAGCTATAGAACCTCGGTCCGAGGAGCTCGGCGGCAGGAACGGGCCCGCCTCGCCAACAAGCAATGGCAGCATCGACGAGGATCGGGGAGCAGCAAGGGGCCCGGCCGAAGCAAAAGACGGCACTCCTCGCTCGAGCCCGCGGGCATCCTCCCTCCTCCCATCTCCTCCCCTCCCGCTCCCTCTCCTCCACCTCCTCCTCCCCTCAGATCCAGACGACGCGGCAAAGAAGGTCTTCGGCCTCTGGAGGCCGTCTCCCAGCCCGGGGACGACAAAGCGACTCGGGAGAAAGGCCAGCCCCCAGGAGTAGGCCGAGATCCCCAGGGGCCCACGTCGCGAAAACATGCTTGGCTGCACGCAGGCGAGGGGCCCCGGGCAGGAGTGCCCTCCTGGGGCGCGGCTTGCCGACCACTGCGTGCCATGCGACAGCAACTGCGGCCTGCACGCATCCGGGTCTGGACCCCACGCGCCCCCCCCCCCGCCGAGAGCCGCGAACCGGAGGTCACCCCAGGGGCCGCTCCTCACGCGCAGCCTGCAAGGACGGCGCGAGGACTGTGTGCCTCCACATATCTGCGCGAACACCGCGGCGTCCTCGCGGAACTCCGGGGGCAGCCTCCGCGTTTCCGAGGGGCGCCCCGTGGAGGCTCAGGACGAGCCGCCCGCCCAACAGGGCGGGAGGCGGAGGAGGGCGAGGAGCGGGCAAGGGGGGAGGACTGGGAGCGGGAAGTGCGGCCGTGGGGCGGGTGGAAGTGAAGGGGGAGGCGGGTTGCAGCGCGGGTGAGGGGGTGGGGAGCGGAAGCAGAAGCAGGGAAACAAATAATGGCATAAACTGAACACCTCGGAGGTCCGCGCAGATTCCTCGGGTCGGCGACGGGGTCCCCTGTAGAGGCCTCCCAGATGGGGTCGGAGTAGATGGGGTCGGAGGATCGCACAGCATCGCCGATGCATCGGCGATGCACTGGCGACGTCGGCGATGAACTGGCGACCTCGGTGATGCATCGGCGACGTCGGCTTGGAGACACTCGGAATCCACATTGAGCCGCATCGCCGATACATCGGCGATGCTGCGCGATCCTCCGACCCCATCTACTCGGACCCCACCGAGGAGGCCTAGACCCTGGCGGCGCCTGCGGCGCCGCGCCAGGCGCGCGGAGCGCGCCAGAGAGGGGGGTCGAATGCCAATCCAAGAAATCCACGTGGACCTCCGAATTTTTATGTTTCGTCATTGTTTGTTCACCTAGCAGCGGCATGGAGCGAGGCCGCTTGTGCTGCTGAGACGTTCGCGAGCGGGTTCTGCACGTTGCGCTCACCGGCAGTGATGTCGGAATGGAGGCTGGCCTCCATGGCCGGACAGCAGTGTGGCTGCACTTGCGCTAGGATGCACCGCACCCGCCCGAGGAGTACAAGACAGAACGATACAGGCCCCCAGAATGACTTCATCAAGTGCCACTGCTGGCGGACTGCAATGCTCAGGCCAGTAGTGTGCTCCATGATCACAGCAATGGGGCCTTGGTCGTGGGCTGAGCGTGCCCTGACTCCTCAGGTGCAAGACTGGTCTAGGTCGGTGAAGCCCATTAATAACACCTCCAGCCCCGTCCGCATGGCCACCACGGGCGAAACGCCCCAGCTGTAGGTCCAAGAGACTGGCCCCGTCACGGTGTCCACTCGTGTGGCGGATCGGACGGGGCGCGCAGCCCATAGCGTCGAGAACACACCTCTTTCCTCCAACGCCGCGTTGGCCGCGCCTTCCATCCCGCACGGCGATCCTTCGGGATGCCGGGCAAGTTCATTCAAGGGCGTGAACAAACACCGTGGCGGCGTGCGCCAGACGTCTCGCTGGCGCCTTGCAACCGCCCCACCCACACTCTCACAGGAACGACCCTTGAGGTCACGCGACACGCCCTTCCCTCTGGCAGCCTCGGAACCACGCTGCGGGCCCACCCCCCCGCTCCCACCGTCGAGGGTGCTCTGAGAGCCTCCTGTGTCTCCGCACCTCCCCTGAGCGTCCAGGGAGCTGCGGACGCCTCGCCGATCACCTCATCATCAAACATTGGCTTCCCAAAGCTCGAGACCTCGACTGACATGGCGCTCGTGGCCAGCGGGCCGCAACCGGAGTGGGAGGTACGAAAGCCCTGGTGAAACTACACAGCAAATTAGTCCATGTCGCCGTTGTCGTCGTCGTACCGCTGGAGTGGCCGTTTGGTCGCATGGGCCAATCCGTCGAGGTAAAGTGTTGAAATTGTGATCGGACATTTCGACCATGTGGACCACGTGGTAGCCAGAACCCACCCAGGTGGCGCTTCGGTCACGTGGCTCCGCTTCGCTCGCCCAGGCGGTCGCCGCGATGCCCCGCGTGTGGAGGCTCACCAGGGCATGCCAAGTGTAGTCGCGCTAGCGAGCTCGATATCGTGAGCCCCTGCACGGCAGTCGTAGCTGACCATCTTGGATCTTCGTAATACGCCAGCGGCAAGCCAGCAGCCACGACCAGGGAAGAGTAAACAGAGTACGCGTAAAAATGGTAAACATGTTACAGGGAGGACTAGACGCGAAGAGACAAACCTGATGGCGTCGTAGACGGCAATGTTAAACAACGCAAGCATTCGACACGTACGTTTAGCCTTTGCAGTGTTGAGACCTACCAGCGCTAACAAATAAATTGTCCAACACGCCGAATTAAAAGCTTTGACAGACGCCCAGGACATACTTAAGAAGAGCGATGCTGATCATGCGGAACATTATCTGTAAGCATGGAGCGAAAAAGGCACGGCCCAGGCAAGCCAGTCTGCAAAGCATCTATATGCCTTGATCAGCCCAAGGCTTTTCTCCGACGGCGGACTCGAACACACTCCACCAATCTGTGCGAATCCATGTTTGGCGGCTGCCTTTGCCAGATGCGTGGGACACCGCCCTCGGCATCAAAGATACGAAGTCCCACGCGCCCATCGTTAAGAGTGGAGGCGACGCGTTCCGGCGTGCAACAAACGCCGCGTCAGCTTCCGGGTGCCGATCAGGTCCGCGATGGGCAGGTCGACGACATGGCGGAGCAAAAGCAGCGGCGGCTTCCTGCCGACACGCATGAGGAGCACACGAAGAGCAGCCGCCTGGGAACCAGGGCCCGAGCGGCCCTGCAGTTGGTGGCGTGTGACCTGTAGCACTGGGTGTGGTTTGGCTTGGCGGAGCTGGAAGCCTGGAGGCCACACTCATCAGTAAGAAAAGAGATGGAGGCAGGAAGAGTCCACCACTGCGGGGAGAGCCGTGGGCG